CACTCATCATTCGTTAAATTCATCAGTTAGGCAAAAAACATCTGTTTGTGTAGCAGTGTCATAAGGTTCAACCTGATAGGTCCACCCATTTTATTGAGTTAATCGCGCAAACGATACGCACCAGTCGGCTGTCTGTCTATAAAATTCAAGCGTTCTCGTTTCTTCTTGATCTTTGAAAAGAGAAAATTTTCAGAGGGAAAGAGGATTTTGGGCGAAGGAGTGCGAATGCTATCGTGTCAAACGTTGTTTATGCTTTCTGTTCCGTGAAATTCAACAACTTTTAAGATGCCACAATCGAATTCATCAGCATCTCCGACCTCCACTGTGTCCTCGCCGACCACACCAACAAAGCGTCAAGCAGGCTTCATCAATAAAGTGAGTTCCTTCCACATTTTGATCTCTTCTTGATCAATTTGATGACAATCAACTCTGAAAATTAAATGAAAATGGGTCATCTTAAATTGTTATGTAAGGAAATTACAGAAGGAATTTCAGCCATAATTGGAAGATTACTAGATTATTTTAGTCGTCGGCATCACTTTCTCCTCTCCCGTTTTCTAGGATCTTATTTTTTAAACATTTCAACACGATCAGAAAAATAATTTGGTGAATAATTTTCCGATTGAACAACGCGCAATTGGTGGACCGTGTAGGCGGCGTTATTGGTTTGCGTTGAGTGATGATTCGCCGTATTTTTATTGGTATAAAAACAAAGGNTTTTTTTCGCCTAAACTTTAGATTAACCCTCAGATGAAGTCGATTATGAGATGAGATGAAATCAGTATTGTTGATTTCATTTCATGTTTTCATCCGTATCTTTTGCTGCTTGATTGGATTCTGCTGATTCCTTCAGTTGTTATGATTGCGAAATTCGTAGTCAGAACTGCATGATCACCTTTAAATCTTTGGTTGAAATTATTGATCAAGCATTACATCAATTCGATTTTCTCACCAATTCATAAAATGAAATCACTTTCATTATCTTTTTGATCCGTTGTTTTGAAATTTTCAAAGAATTCTGTCAGTACTTATCCGGTTCGTGAGAAAACACAATATTTTTTCAGTGTAAACGACCAGGTTCATGTATTGGAAACAGCTGATAATAAGTCAAGACTGCAGTGGCTGAGAAAGTTGCAGAGCAATCGACGACGACATTATGAACGTGAAAATGTTGACGATATTTTGAAAGTGGTGAGGGTCTTTCGTCAAAAATTTTATATTTAATGAATATCTTGAGTGCATATATTTCAGGAAATAGTTTCCTTATCATCGCATTCGGGTGAAAATAATGAGCAAGAACAGCAACGTTGTGGTGATGATCAGAAAGCAGAAAATGACAACACGACAGGGGTAGATTATGAAGGAAGAGTCGCTGGTGACGATCCGAGCGGACTAACGGGCGCAGAGCAAGCTCAAGAAGTAGTCGTGCCTGGTCCAAGTGATGAGAAATCTCTAGAGGAAGAACTTTTTGAGGCGGTTAGTTGTTGATTAAATGTGATTGAATTTTAGAAATTTGATGATATAGAGGCGTGATTATTGGTATAATTATTGTTATAGTGATGACTGTCTGTGGAAGATTTGTGATTAATTGTAGACTCAGTCGACATTCTATCTGAATTCTAATGGGGAATTGAATGCGAAGAGTCTCGAAATGCCATCTCCGATGCCACCAAGTACTGAGATTCTCAAGAACGCAGAGGAGGTACTCGTGAAAATCGCTGATGAAACGAAAGCGCTGGAGGTACCGGCAAAACGAGTGATCAGTAAAGCAAGATCCTCATTCAGGTTTTACTTTCTTCTCCTCAACTTAAATGGTCATATTCCAGATTTTTCATAATATTTAAGAAAACGTCGTTGGAAATGTGGTATTTCTCTTTCCATGTTCCAGTCAGAGAGTAGTTACTAATAACTAAGTTTGCATCGGGATGAACTCGGATTCCGCGAGGTCGGGATCCTCCCAAGTCTCCAGAATCCGTGAACCATCCCTACATTTGTTCAGTGAATATTTCTTCAGCAGAGGAGTGGAAATGTGTTAATTTTAAACAAAATTTGAGGTTACCATCTTTTTCGAGTCATGCCTCAGGACCGTGCGAGCATTGCAAAACGGTGATTAAATTTAAATTAAATAAATTTTTTGTTAAAAATTCAAATTTAAATTTAATTTAGTAGATTGTTAAAGTAAATTTAAATGAATTTGTGATTTATTGGTAAAGTTGAGATTAAGTTTTAAGAAGAATGCTCGTNGAACTGAAAGATCGTTGTTATGAGTTGACTGATGAGGTGGGCGCTAATCAAGATATGGTCACTGTTCTCAGGCAAACACTCATCAAGGCGAATCATCAAATCGAAATTTTGTTAGTTCAATATTTTCCATCTATCTGAATCAAGAATATTTTCTACCTCACGCTAATTCTCTAAGCATAGTCCATTCGTCCGAAATGATTGCATTTGAGTTGACAGTAATTCTCTGAACGAACTAATGGTAATTCTCTGAAAACAGTCCGTCTGAGGTAAATAAAAGAGTGATTGATCAATAGATGATATTACCTGGATTACCTGGATTGGCCAGGCTAGCAAACGTTTGTAACGNTGCTGGCCACAATGCTCGCGTTTCCGTGCACATTGTTTTAGCCTCAATTTACATCACCCCGCTGGCTAGGCGAGCAGGCCACGATAGATAATATGTGTTGAATAATGTCTCTTGTCGAACGTTTCGTTTCGATTTACCCACATCAAGATGTTCAGAAAGACGATGGCCGAGTTGAAGAGTGCACGTGATCGTGTGAATTTCATATTGGAACGCGAAAGTGAGGTGATCGCGTTGCAGTTGAATGCCGCAGAACACAATCGTGAAGTGAGAAATCTGAAGCAACATATCAAGTTTGTTGTTGGACATTATTGCGCTCTTTTTGGTATTAGTATTCACTTGTTGATTGCTGAAATTTGTCATATTGCATAACGTTGGGTGCGGTGATTCGAACTGCAAAAATTTCAGAGAGTTAGAGGAACGTAATAACGAGTTGAATATGGCAGTAGAGGCGTTTCGAGATAGTGTTCGAACCAAAGAAGAGTTGATTATGAAGTTGTGCAGGGAGCAAGATTTGGACGCTAGTATCATAAATGATGGTTGGTAATTCGCAGTTTTCATTATGAAGGGGTGTATTTTCGTTGTTGTCGAATCAGCATGATTGATAATATTGGTTGATTGATCACTGTTCTGAGGCAAATCAGCAGATGCGTGATGATTTTCAGTGGATGTGCCCGAAGGTATTCTGGTTGACATAGGGAATCCGAATGGTTTAGACGATGGTGCACAACGGGTTTTCGATGAGACGGCAGTGAACGATGTTAACGAGATGCGTGATCTGGTGGAGGGATATAAAAATCAGAACATGTTTTTGAATCAGGAAGTATTGGGTTGGTTTTTGAGTGTGTATGATGTTTATATTTATTGTAATATGAATTGATCGTTGGTATGTGCTCGTAAAAATTACTTTATAGAGTTACAGCGTATCGTGCAGTCGTTAGAGGAGAGGGAACGGCGAATAATACGACAGAATTTCGATATCGAGGCGTGCTATTATCAACTGAAAAGTCGTTACATCATGGTGCTGAATCATTTCAAAGAAGATGCACCGTCCACTAGTGCTAGAGGTTAGTGTATTNTATCAACACTGCGATGAAATACAAATGAAACGATCATCATGATCCCTTAAAATGTTGAGATGTAATCATTTCTCTGAAAAAGTTCGATATTTCCTTCAAAAATTGCGGGATTGGTTTGTTGTTCAGAAGGCACATTCGTGAGATTTCAGTTCTGGAACCGGGTGTAATTGAAGAGCTGATCGATGAGACGAATTGGACAGCCGAAAAAAGAACGTTGGCAAACGATAAAACTGAATGTTTGTCTTTGTTTGGAGTGTATTTATTCGGCTCCTTACAATTGGTTAATCGAAAGTTCGTGAAGAATTTTGAAGAGAAAAAATTTTTTAGAGTTTTGGTTTGACTTTGTTGAGTCGAATTTTGCAGTGAGAGTAACCGACTCGTTGGGATTCTATTTGGATAACGATGCGAATACTCGACGTCGACGGCAAACTTCATCTGATTTGTTGGATGTCGCTGTGAAACTGCAAGAGAAAACGAATAAAATCATTGGGCAGCAGAGATTGGTCAGTTGTTTTCTTGCTCGTGGCCCGAGAGTTAATGAGATTTTGTTTAGATCATGTGTCAAACTGTCAAAAATTTCGTGAATCTAAGCTTATTTTATCAGTTTTTCATAGTTTTTGTCGTGTTTTCTTGTTGAGACAGTTGGTGTTTTGTATAATTTCCA